TAGCTATTTCTTTCTTTACCTACAATGGCTTTAGATATAACAATTCTCTTATGTATTGTCCATTTCATATGTCTTCCTATAAGAATATGACATTATTTTAGTCTTCCGTACTATGCATGAGTATTGTATTCAAATATCACTGGTCATGCTCTCTACTTTGAGTGCTATGGATTTCAGGACTTCTAACCTAAAACCTTTTCCTTCTGATCTATACACGTACTGGTGTTTCTAGTTTGCATTTTGACATGTATGTAATATATTGATGCATAAACTATGCTAGAGGGTTAATGAGAAGAACAAATATAACTTTACTGTCGCAGGTATCGGTTGACAAAAGGGTTTCCGGTTAAACAGGTTCCTCTCCTATCTCCTGAGGAGGTTATGATTTGATTTTCCCAGCAGTTAACAAGCTTCAGTCACAGATCACACCCCTTCATTGTCTGACTTTCTTCACTTGCCTTACGTGACATGTGCCACTTGAGGTAAAAAAGCAGGAAGAAAGATGCCTTCTACATACAGCTTGAATGGCTTTGTTGAATGAAGACTGTTTATTTTTTTTTGGTCTATGCACAGAAGTCAAGGAAAGGGAAACAGAATAGAAACAAGGCATCTCAAAAGAACTTGGTGCTAATTGGCCAATATGAATACGTGTGATATTCCTGTACACAAAACTGGAGGTGGAGGGGGGGGGGAGGTAAGAGCCCAGGGTGCAATTCGCACCTAAACATGAGTGTAGCCAGGTGACTTTTGGGGGCTTTTTTTCTGCATTTGTATGTGTTTTTCAGAAAGTGTTTTCAGGTGCAACTTGTAGTACAGCAGCAGAATCATGCGTTTTGGCCCCATAGACTTGTAAATGGGAGTACCTGAACAACGCACGTAAAAGCTTTGCGTTAGACTTTAACTCCCATTAACGTCTAAGAGCAAACACACAATTGTGCCCCCCCAAACAAATTCAAGTACTTTGAGCTTCACGAGACTAGCAACAACCAATGTAACAGCTGGGTGTGAATAGAGGCCATTAAAACAATCTTGTTGAGTGGTGTTGTGATAAGGGAAATAAGCTACAAAACCCATGGGTGTGAATGGGGCCATAAGATCACACAGAGTAAGAGTAGTAGTGGGGGTACAGCGCTGAGGCATGTTTATATTGCTTTGTGTATCCCTTTTACAGGGAGGGATTTCCCCTTTTTCAGGTCTATATGATGGGTTTTGGAACAGGAAATGAGCTGTAAGCTTCTAAATGGATGCATACAGGTAGATGGCATTAAACAGTTGGCAGATATTCCATCTTCTCCCTATTCTATCCACAAATAGAACCAACACCATTAGAAATGTAGGAGAGTCCCATAGTACCTAGCGCAAATGCTACACCAACAAAATTTGGGTATACCTCGGGAGTTGAACAGGTATCTAATAAACTTTATGGGAAACCTATTGTTGAATAAGCCTCAGAATTACTACAGTAAGCCAAATGAGTTGGCATTATCTTTATATTTTAGCTCTATGCAATGCAGAGCAATCCCTTTCCTAATTGGTCATTTGCATCGGAGTATGCTTTATGACCTAAGCCCCAATGAGTACCCTCATGACCTAAGCCTCAATGAGCACCCTCATGGCCTAAGCATCACCCTTGTCTGTCCTATTCTGCATTACTTTATTACCTTGAATCAGTATTGAAGGTAATACATTAATGCAGAATGGGACAGACGAGGGTGATTAGTAAGCCGTTTGTTTCCCTGCATGCTTGGAGTAACAGGGCTGCAGTGTCTCATGGGAAATCATGTTGCATCACTTGCGCAAAAGGAAAGCCCAGTAGGAGAGATTGTTGTCTGGTGCACTACATGCCTGCTTCCCTAATACCTATGTCTAAAAAATGAAGTCTTATATGCGGGTTTTGCCTGCAGCTGTTGGGGTATTGCAGTACTGGTTTTCTGTTTTATAAAGATTTCATGTGGGAATCCTGTTCATTTACAGACAACTGTTTTGTTTATTCAAACTACTGTCCTATTGTCTTGAGTTCAGATCAATTTGAATTTCTTTCTTTGTCAGTTTCACACTGTTTCACTCCCATGGTTTCTCACAGTGGGGTTCTTTGAATTCAGTTTCACCTTTTTTTTTATTTGTTTTTGGTGGTTGTTTGGCTTGTTTGATATAGTTTGGTGTTGGGTCCTAAGTAATCCTTTTTAGTTTGGTTTTCTGTTTTTTCTTTTTTCTTTTTCTATGTTAATCTTCTTACTTTAGAGCATCTATGTGTTCTAAGGAAACAGTACCCCCTACCATGCTGGCTGTCATGGTTCATAAACACAGAAGACAAAGGCAACTTGTCCAGTGTAACAATCCTTTCAAATTTCCATAAGAATAATAATGCTCTTTAACTTGGTAAAGTAATTGGAACCGCATGTTCTGTAGGCTGTATAGTCGGCAATTTTTCTAAATGCAACAAATATGAATATTGGCAATACACAGAAGAGTCAAACTGGATAGACAAATCAGGATGGACAAATGCTATAGTCTATGTTCATCTTAGTTCTATGCAATGCAGCGCAAACTCTTTCCTAATTGGTCACTTGCATTGGATTATGTTTTCTGACCTAAGCCTCAATGAGTCCGTTAATGTAGTAAGTCCCCATTTTGATGCCTGCCTGTGCAGGGTAGTAACATATAGTTACATCGTGTGAGAAAAAAAGCATTGTTAAGTTGGGTGTATTCATTTTAAAATACTTGATTTATTCAATGAAATGGAAAGCTGGCACAGCAGCATTCAAATTAGTAGCTGGCAACAGTTTCAAAAACACATTTGGGTTGATTTACAAAAGGCAAAATAAGCTGTTCATATTGCATGGGAATTTCCACTTGGCAAAGCAATTCTCCGTTGGCTTATTGGATGAGGAGAGGTTTTGCTGACTTCCATCATTCAATCACCTGCACACAAAAATAATTTTTATGTTCCTTGTACGTGATTGTGTACTCTTTGCAAAGTGAGTTTTACCCACATTCAATGAACTGAGGGGAAAAGTGAGCAGCCTATTTGCCCTTAATCAACCCCATTGGCTCTCTTTTTTTTAACATATGGATTTGCACAAAGTATTCATATCATTAGTTATTGGAGGTTCAGTGGATGGAATGGTCAGAGTGGGCAGCACAGTGGCTTAGTACTTAACGCTTCTGCTTTGCAGCACTGGGGGTCCCTGGTTCGAACCCCAGCCAGGTCACTACCTGCAAGGAGTTTGCATGTTCTCCTGTGCTTGCGTGGGTTTCCTATGTTTTCCTTCTACACTCCAAAGACATGCTGGTAGGTTAATTGGCTCCTGTCTAAATCGGCCCTGTATGTATGCATGTGAGATAGGGACCTTAGATTGTAAGCTGCTTGAGGGCAGGGAGTGATGTGAATGTGCACTATGTAATGTGCTGCATAAAATTGTCGGTGCTTTATAAATACTTGTAATAAATAAGCAAGTCCTATGTGTGGCAAGCATGGAAGAAAATGGATACGCTCTAGAGATGAGAAGTGTATTCTTTATTATGTGGCTGATATGTTAAATGCAAATAATCCAAACACCAACATTTGGATTCCAAAGTTAGAAATACAATTGCCCATCTTTGCTGCAGTTTGGTTTTTAATCCCGTAATGGCCTTTAAAAAAAATGTAAATCGCATATCATTGGCAACAGGGCAATATTCAGAAAAGTAGATTATATGATTCTTATCTGATGTGACTTCTATACATATTGTAGGTCTGGAAACGGTGAGTCGTGTACTGATTTTGTCTGATAGGGCACAGTGAATTCCTGCCACCTGTAACAAACCATTCCAGTTTTAAAAGCATATGATAGTGTATCTGGCCTTCGGTCACTCAAAGCTGGCCCACAGCCCAAACCAGTCTTCCTACCTTGAGACAATGTAATTACTGCAGGCCGAAATACTTAATGAGCTGCATCATTTACCCTGGCAGTAAATATAAATAGACATTTATCACAGGCTCAGATTTTTTTCCTGCGTCCATTTGACCTCAAAATATACCCACATCTGTAATTAAATAATGAGCTGTGTTACATAATGGAGATCCAAGGTGTGGTTAGTTTGATCTGCTTGAATCCGGTAAGGATCATCTGTGGGCATTTCATGGCCATTTCTCACTGTTGTAAGAGATGAGGCCGGAGCTGGACACATTTTCTTTATTCATAATCACCCATTGTTAGCTGATAAAGAGCATGTATGTTTATACCACAATTGTTCACGACCACTTGAGATCAAATCTGAGGCCATATCTATGGCCAGCGTAAATAGAGGTTGTATTTGTTTCTCTAAAACAAGTTGAAGACTTATTTACCACTGAACACATTGCAAGAGAAAACAAGTTGATGTAAACAGGTGCTACTGAAAATATGGTGCATTCCCATGCAACATTTTGACTTCACCGACATCCATTTCTCCATTCATTACAATAACCAATAACAAACATGTGGTTTTCTCTACTTGCGATGGCAAAGGGTTTTTTTTTTTAAAGACTTTGCATTCTTATATTAATTTAATTGTTCTACTGCTGGTGCTGTTTCAGCTTGTCCACAGACCGAAGCTTGAAATTTGCCTAGATCAGAGAGAGAGTAACTAAATGTAAGAGAATGAGATGATCATGTAGAATTCTGGACAAAGATTTAAACATTTCATGTAATGCCTCTGACATTTCTCAAACTAGATTTGAGTCACAAGTCAACAATCTATATTTTCTCTTTCAGTTCAAGTGTTGGTGGATGAAGCGCCTGTTCGAATTCAACTTTGTGACACAGCAGGACAGGTATGCAAAGAGAATCATTTATTTTTACATGATGATATATGGGCCCCTTCCAGGGGCCAGGATCTGACACATTCTATTCTGTAGGTAATTAGCACATCACACTCATTTGAAGAGGTTTCCTCAAATTCCCCATTGCCCCTCTAGGACAGGAAGTAAAGGCAAATTTCCCAAACACAGGAACAGCAAAAAATTAACTGACAGGAGTTACCATTTGCTACTCTGCCCAAATCTGAATAAAAAATGTTTGGATATACATAACTGTAGACAAATTAAAGTGCACCTACTGTATAACCAAAACCTTTTTTTTTCGGCTAATTATTTCTTCCTCTGTTACTGTGAGACTTTTCTTCCCTTCCTGTCTGGTGAAAAGGTTGTCCCTGGGACAAGGAAAAGGGAACATCTCTCTAACAGCCCCAGACAGCGTTTAAAACCTGAGGGGGTTTCTAGCCTTTCCCACTCAGTCCAAAACAAAAGTTTTGGCTAAAAATACACTTTAAAAATTGGAGAAAATTTAGTAATTTTATTTTCAAAGACAATGCATTGTTCATGAGGGAGGCATTTACACCAATTAGTGAGTCTGAATCTAACTGTACCCTAAAAGTCTATAAGAACATGCAAGAATCTTACCTTTGCCAATTCTTACAGGTTGGAAATTGGTCCCAGGACCTCCTGTATTGTCTTTTTGTTGCTTTTAGTGTTTTATGCTTGCTTGTTAAACACCTTTTTAGTTTATGGCCTTTTAATGCCATATGGTTTGTAGACTATAGCTAGGACTACCACAGTGTGTTCCTTATGTGTATTGCACCATAAACCCTGCCTGTATTCCTTGCTGTCATACAATGTGACCGTTATTACCAGGAGGAAGAGAGTGGATGACCCTACTGAGCTGCAATACGGACCAATAAAAAACACCTTGGCAGGGGTTCTAAAACGTTCCTGCTCTATCCAATTGATGATTATACATACACTTTAAATGCTAATTAATGTCCCAGAAATAGATGTATGCAGTCAGACATTGTACTAACATTCTCCATTTTTATAGTCTTACCTTTTAGTTTACTGTTACAGCAGTTGTGTAGGGTGTCTGACTGTGCAGTCGTCACCAGAGCTAGGACCTTTGGTCTCAAGACAGGAGAAAATGGGGGGAGCGTTTTGGAACATAGGACAGTTGAAAGCATACTTCTTGCTTCACTGCAGAGTCCTGTGAAAGCTATGGATTTCAAGTCTCACAAGAATTAATTCTGCATAGTAAAAGCGAGCACATTTTTGTAAGACTGATTTCTCTTTTTCGCAGTATCCTGCAGTTATTCTGAACAATATCACTGCTTCCTAGACAAGAATGACCGATAAATATGGACGTAGGGAGTATTTCAAAATGCCAGTGTAGTGCCCTCTACAGTACTGTGCCCTAGCCCTCTGCCTTGCTTTCTAGCATTCGTCTATAGCACCCCATTTTCTTACGATGCCCCCTGCCAGTCACAAAGGCCCTATCTCTCCTCCACTGTGCCTCCTGCAAGGCCCCTTAGCATGACCATGCCTCTGTAGCCTCTTGCAGAACCTCCAGCCCCTCATAGTGCCTCCAGGGTTACCTCCAGAGTGCTCCAGGGCATTTTCTTTCACCCAAACTGACCACTGATGAAGGGTTTTTTTTCCCTC